TTGTTGTAAAATTAGTTTTGGCCTTATAGTTATTGGTGATAGTAAACCTAGCGGATCGAATATTTGAGAAGATATTGACAGAATTATTCTTTTGGTAACAACATTGGGTGATTCTAGATTTATAATATATTGTATTGTATCACTGTGAGAATTCCAATATACACCCAACGTTTTGTTACTCTCATCTTCCATTAAATACAATTTACTAACCTCGGAATTGTCAGCTACATTAAAATCTCTTAAAAGATCAGTTCTGTTTGTTAGCCATTTTCTCAAACTAAAACCTGCAGACTGCAAAATATGAGAAACCTCTTTCTGAATTGTTAATAATTCTTTAATTGTATTGCAACCAGTCAATAGGTCATCTATATAAAAGTCTTGTTTTATTACTTTTGCAGCCCTAGGATATTCAAATTCATTATCATTAGCTAATTGAACTAGACAGCGTGTAGCCAAAAATGGTGCCGAAGCTGTACCATAAGTTACAGTATTTAACTCGAAACAACTTAATTCCTCACTAGGATTTTCCCTCCAAAATATTCTTTGCAATGAACATTGCTCCTTGTCTATTAATATCTGCCTGTACATTTTTGAAATATCTGCACTCATAACATAAGGATAACATCTAAATCTGAGCAAAATGGAAAACAAATCAGACTGAACAGTAGGACCTACATACTGTGCATCATTTAAAGAAATACCACTAGTAGATTTTGCACTGGCGTCAAAAACTACCCGGCACTTAGTGGTTAAAGAATTTTCTCGAATTACCGCATGGTGTGGCATATAATAATTCAAATTTTTCAAACTATCATTTTCATTAATTTTTGTCATATGATTTAAACTTTCATACTCACGCATAAAGTCAACATAGTAAGTTTTTAGAGAATCATTTTTATTTAATTTTTGCTCCAAAGAATAAAATCGTTTTAGAGCTGCCTTTCGTGAGTCACCTAAAGAATCGATATTTTCGTTCAAAGGCATTTTTACAACAAAACGTCCTTCAGAGTTCCTATATGTATTTTTCAAAAAATCATCTTCACACTCTTGTTCAATTTTATTTAAATCGAAATAGTTTCAAAATTCTCCATTTGCCAAAATTTACTTAATTGATCACTTATTATTTTTTCAAAACCATCAGCTGTAATCGCAGAGTGACAGGATATTGTGAAATAATTTTGATTTGGCAACATTGCATTTCCAGAAATAACCCAACCTAACAAAGTCTTTTGTAAGACAGGCATATCTTTACCTAAACTCAATTGTCCTACACAAAGTAATTGCCAAAAAATACCACTACCTAACAAAATATCCACCTCTCTACTTTTGTAAAATTCTGAATCAGCCAGTTTTATATTTTGTGGTATTTCAAATAGAGACCTATCCATGTTAAGTGTAGGCAAGTTTTCTGTAATTTTATTTATTATCAAACAGGACACTTCAGTTTTAAAATTTGAGTTTAAAGAACCTATTTCAATGATAGTTTTGTGTTTAATTGTAGATGTAGCTTTTCCAACACCTTTTATTGTTAAACTAAAATTTATCTTTTCAAGATTTAATTTCTTGCACAATGATTCAGTTACAAAACAACATTGAGACCCATTATCTAGTAAAACTTTTGCTGAATGATATTTGCCATATTTATCTTTTACTTGTACTATAGCTGTTGCAAGCAAAACTTCTGTAGGTCTAAAGGAATTTATTGTATGAGAAACTAAAGTGTGTTGAGCTTCAGTTGTACTGTTGTTTTCATTATTGTTAAAATTATTATTATTTATTTGTTGCACTTGATTACGATCAATATGTATTAGAGTATTGTGTTTTCGAAAGCATTTTCTGCACCCACTGTAAGTGCAATGTTTTGACAAATGACCTGGCCTAAAACAGTTTTATACATAATTTTTTCTCAAACAATTTTTGACTACGCTCATTTATTGGAATACTTAAAAGTTGGTCACAGTCATAAACTGAATGCTCGTTTTTTACAAAAATAGCACTTTGGTTTACTTGTACTTATATGTGAAGTGGAAAAATTCTTTATTGAATGTTTATTGCGAAATTTATTTTCTGTTTTAATAGCAACCTTGGAAGTTGCTCCCTTGTGTTCTAATTTTTTCATTAGTCCTAACCTATGAATTAAAAATTCTTCCATATCACTCATTTTCGGTTTTTCACTCTTAACTACATAGGATTCCCATTCTTTTTGTGTTTCTTCATCAAACTTAGTTGTCAAGATATAAATAAGCAATGTATCGACAGAGGGCTCCTGAAAACTTTCTAAAGCTCTTAAATTTTTGGTAGTGTTTAAATAGAGATCTCTCAAACCTATATGATCATGCTTCAGCATAGCTGATTGTTCAAAAATTGCTTTTATATGGTTAAATATTATTAAGTTATTATTCTCATAGTATTGGCAGAGCAGTTTCCAAGCAATATCATAGTTTGCCTCAGTTTTTTGAATACCCATCAATAAATCTTTTGCCTCACCTTCTAATGACATTTTTAAATAATGAAATTTATCTATCTTGGTTAAATGAGTTTTATTATGTACCATATCAAGGAAAATGTCTCTAAACTCTAACCAGTTATTGATATTACCATTAAAAGCAGGCAACCTAATAGTTGGTAAACGAATATCCTGATTACTTAAAGCTAATGGGTGTATTATATCACCTTGTATATAAGACTCTTGTGATTGATTACCTTGTAAATTGACTTCTTGTAATTGATTACCTTGTAAATTGACTTCTTGTAATTGATTACCTTGTATGTTAACCTTTTGTATTTTATTACTGTGTTGTGAATTTTTTGAAGACACTGAACTACAATAATTATTGTCGTTTACTCTTATTATTTCTTTTAAATTTCCTAATACCCAAAAATAGGTTGACTCGAATTCTTTTCTTTCTTTCTCTTGTTCTTTTAATAAATTTTCATCATCTATTAATTTAAGTTCAATCTTTGATTGAATTTCCTCAAATTCATGTAAAAGAGGATCAGCTTTTTCTATTTTAGTGAGAATTGTACTATATAAGGTAGGGTCTTTCAAAATTAACCCCCCTTCAAACTCTATGTCTTGAATATAATGTTTTTAAACGGGTAATTTTCCCTTTAACTTGACCTCTAATCAGGTTTAATGGCTTTAATTCTTCTTCCATGATTTATATTACAGATAGAAGTATAATATTTTAAGAAATAGTACTAGGTAAGTAGGTATAGCTTGGTATTTTACTATTTAAATATTGTATGTACCTTGTATTAATTATTGTAAATAGTAAATATTGTTAATAGTAATGTATTTCTTAAATATTGTAATAGATATATTGTTAATATTAATTTGTTTCTTGAATATAGTAATAGAAATATTGTTAAGTAATATTAATTTATTTATTGAATATTGTATTGTCTATTAATTAATGACTATGTAAATAGTAAATATTGTTAAGTAATATTAATTTACTTTATCAAATTGAAGGAATATTGAAATAGAAATAGGAAAAACTCACAGAATAGGATGGGTTGGCCCTGATGTTCCATGTGCTTCCAGTTTCCTCCAGCTATTTTTTACTATTTACTAGTTTTTACTGTCAAATCCTTAAATCCAGCGATCAAGGACCATGTTTCATACTCGATGTAGTGGACTGTATTTACTTCACTTTTGTTTAAATAAAAATTTATAAGAATTTCTGTAATTGCATCTTTATTCTTGTAATATATAATCTCCAAACTAACCTCTATACACTTACATAACCGCCAAAAACCCGGCGTTCATACTGATATTTATCGATAGGCAACACCAACTACTTACGTTATACTGGTTGCATAACCAATAGGGTATACAAATTAAGTGAAATTAATAAGGCGTCAACACAGGTTTACAACTGTTTTAAATAATTTTTAAATTCAAAATTATTTGTTGGAACAGTAAATTTTTGAAACGAGTGCCCTTAGACAGGCCATTCACGTTCCGACTTGTGGTCCCACTTAGTAGGACTACTAGTTGGATGTTCGTCTCCACTCACGCTCCGACTTTCTATCCAACTAGCGGTCCAACTTCAGTCCTAGGTTGTTTTCACGATGGTGTACATTGCAAAATGTATCGAATGTATCGAATAAACACTACGCAAAATATAATAATATGATATGTATGTTTAAAAATTAGGTTTCATTTCTCTAGTTATTTGTCTATGGCTGAACTAATTAATTTTTTCAACTCTTGATTTTTATGACTTTTTAAGATGTAGGAAAAAATTATAGTTTTTAAAGATTTGTATAGGTATAAAATTTATATTTTATTTGTTTTAAACTGGAGCTGGGATTTATTTTGTTGTGTGTGTGTCGTATATTTTTAATAGGAATAATTGTTCGTGCAATTGAAAGTTATTTTCTATTATTTTTTTGCGAACTAGGGATCTTTTGCTACAACTATGATTTAATTTTCATTGTTTGTTGATAATTCTTCCGTAGCCAATCCGGAGTATCGGACATTTACCTGTATAGGAATGTCCGAAATAGATCTACAGAAAGGAAAATGATTTGCCCTAACAAAAAGGTAATTTTCGTGCAATTGAAAGTTTATTTTTTATTAAATATTCGCGAACTAGAGATCTTTGCGTAAAGTATTTCATAGAAATCTCATACGTAACAGGTGCCGAAAGTCAACTGACTGAGGAAATTTTCGATCCAACCTGTGATCCGACTTCCAACTTCACCATTCACGCTCCGACTTCGTCGCCAGTCGGAAGTCGGATCTTCAAGTCGTCCCACTAGTCGTACCACTAGTTGTCCAACTAATCCAACTAGCCCACTCACGGTCCGATTTCAGATCCAACTGCAGAAGTTGGACCACTAGTCGTACCACAAGTCGGAACGTGAATGGCCTGCATTAGCTGGCCCCTAGACTAAATTGAATTAATAGTGATCCGTGTGATTTTTCATTGTTTACTTTACTTATATGTAACTTTCTTCTTCATTCTAATTTATGTAAATACCGTTTTTAGATATCGCATTAGACCAAAATATATGCGCAAAGTAAGCAATAGAAATTTATCAACAACTATATTGGGCAAGTCTGTGGCATTTCCTATAGGGATATCTCCCTCGGCTTTCCATAAAATAGCACACGTGGATGGAGAATGTGCTACTGCGAAAGGTATGTTTGTATACTTTACCCAAAATATAATAGAAATAGTAGAGAAATAAAATTTATATATATATATATATATATATATATATATATATATATATATATATATATATATATTCCGTTCCTTTAAGCTGCTCAAGATTTAGAAACCATCTTCATATTAAGTTCACACTCTAATTTACTTTTGAAGAAGTCTCGAAAGCGGCACACATAGCAGAAAATGGCTACAAATGTATATTTTCCAAAGCAGGTAAATAACAAGTAGATCTTAATTTATCGAATTAAAGTAACATATTTATGTATATATGGGAAAAGTAAGGATTAACAAAATGATTTTTGTAGATTGTCAAGGCAATAACTTTTTTACAAGCTACAGGCTTCAAAGTTCTTACATTTTACTTGTTACATTTTAAATGTTGTTCGCTTTTGCAACTTGTCAAAAGCAATGAAAACGATTTTCCGAACAAATCCTGTTATCGCCACAGTATATGACTAAAGAAGCTTCTGTTAGCATTAAACTGTAGGACAGGCTTATTCAGGGATTTAGTACCACCGATAATAATTTGACATTTTCATGGCACAGTATCTTTGTTTTTAATATCTCTCCCTTATTTTTTACTTTTTTCTCTAATACATTAACTAGAAGTACTGTTGATAGCACATTAAATGTTATCTTTATTTATCTCTTGCAATATTTAATCGTTTCACATAATATATTACTTCTGTTTCCGTGGGTTTTTTAAACAATTTATGTTTTAGGGAAATTACGAAAGATTTTGTTAAAAGAGCAGAAACAAACGGATTTGAAGCATTGGTACTTACCATAGATTTCGCTCTATTTGGTCTCCGACATATAAATTTAAGAAACCAGTTTAGGCCACCACCTAATGTGCAGTAAGTACAATAATATACGGGTTGCAAGAAAGTCTGCAAACGAGATTATTTTCCTTTAAATTTTTGTAATTAAAGTGTTATTTTTGAAAATATCTTTGTGTATTTTGAGATATGTATCAAAAGCATGTAACTTCAAAACTTGGAACACCATGGAAGGAGAAAGAGACATAGAGTTGCTAATGTCTTAATAAATCTCATGAGTATGAAATACAGAGTAGACCAAAAGTGTGGAAACGAGTAATTATCTATTAAATGGATAGTCCGAATTATACAAAAACAGGGATACACATATTTAATACGAAGATCTGAAGTTTGATGTATGTAAAGCTGTCAGATTTGCTATCTTTCTGATATGATTTTGGTTTTTTAAATACAACACCCTGTATATTGTACCTTTATTAAAATCTCCACTTTAATGCTACTAAAACAAAAGCCAGAAACGCCTAATTGTCTCAATAATTTGTTTAATTCAAACTATATAAAACTAAAGTGTTGGATGCAACAGGTATACTAGCCACTCCTGGATATCTCCACTTCATGGTTTTGTTCCAGTTTCACTTTTAATTATATAAAACTAAATTTGAACACAATAGTTAAAAGTTTACAACAGTGCTAAATTAATGTCCACCTTTTCAAGTGTTCAAAATGTACTTCGTTGTTAATCTTTCTACTACTGTACTACTTTCGCTGCGCACCGATCGGAGTCAAAGTGGTCCTTTGCTAGTTGCACATGACTCCGATCGAGGACAGTAACCGGTTGATTTTTAAGACGACGATATATTTTACTTAGTACGACGCCGACGTTAGTTATTGTTTGTCAGGGTGTGAGTGAAGTATTTGGATGCAGCTTAAAACAACTATTCAGAGCTATTGCATCAAACATTAAAATAGCTATGATGATTGCCAACCTCCGTAGCGGAAATGGCATCTGAAGAAGTAATAACTCTGAATCTGTACAAAACATGTTTAAGATTGGAGTACAAAGAGCTCAAAAATAAGTGGCATTAAATATGTAAAGGTGTTTCTAATAAACAAGTCGTTCCAAAACTGACACACATTTTCCAAAAAACAAAAGATAAAAATCGATGTCACATTTTTAGTATAAGAACTGGTCTATGTGATCTAAAATTTAAAATGAAAACGAGATTTGTTGAAAAATTTATAATTGTTCAGCATAAACATAGGAATTTTCAAAATCCACAAGGAAAAATTCCTGTAGCTGGCTGTATACCACGTATAACAAAAAGAGGTTAATCTTTGTAAATGGGTATATTTATTTAAAAAAAACCCTTAAAAGGGCCACATCAATAAAACAAACGTTTTCGGACTACACAGTCCATCATCAGGTTATTAAAATCGAAAATGCTAGGTCATAATGCCTGAGCCACCAAAATATTAGGGTAAAAACCCTTTAAATTACATTTCATAACTAAATGTAATTTAAAGGGTTTTTACCCTAATATTTTGGTGGCTCAGGCATTATGACCTAGCATTTTCGATTTTAATAACCTGATGATGGACTGTGTAGTCCGAAAACGTTTGTTTTATTGATGTGGCCCTTTTAAGGGTTTTTTAAATAAATATACGCATTTACAAAGATTAACCTCTTTTTGTTATACGTGGTATACAGCCAGCTACAGGAATTTTTCCTTGTGGATTTTGAAAATTCCTATGTTTATGCTGAACAATTATAAATTTTTCAACAAATCTCGTTTTCATTTTAAATTTTAGATCACATAGACCAGTTCTTATACTAAAAATGTGACATCGATTTTTATCTTTTGTTTTTTGGAAAATGTGTGTCAGTTTTGGAACGACTTGTTTATTAGAAACACCTTTACATATTTAATGCCACTTATTTTTGAGCTCTTTGTACTCCAATCTTAAACATGTTTTGTACAGATTCAGAGTTATTACTTCTTCTTTTTTTTTTTTTAGAGGAATTTTCCACGCGAATTTATCGTAAATCGTTTTTATGGTATTTAAGTATGCATTATATGTTTACTGTTGTTTATTTATTCGTGTCTCATGAAAAGCTACGGAATGGAAGTGCCCCGCATGCCTAGAGAAGGCGTATAGAAACTGGGTGTCGCTGAACCCGGAGTTTCGTGCTGACTTCCATTTGATTGTGCTCACATAATAAAATTAGCAACCACAATGAAGCATGTCCCGCAATCGAACAAGTCTCTTAAAGGAGACAAATCATCTTACAAAAGAATACCAACTAGTATCTACGAATTACTAGTTTAACTAAGGATAATAACTTCCACACTAGAGTTTTACAACACTTATTGGACATCAGCTTAATCGTGAATAGCTAATTTTATATGTATAAAAACATATAGGCATCTCTTTGATTAACGATAGAAAATTATATAAACAATATATAGAAATAATAAATTTATCATTTTCAGAAAAAATAGCTTGTTGCAAATTTTTGTAGCAACTGCAATTAAATCTACTAATTATAAATTCCAAAATATTTTAATATCTACTTAACCTTCGGAGTACGAAGACTGGGTCAAGCGTGACCCGAAATTCACTTATTTCTTAATATTTCATGAAATAATTTTTTTACAAATCTGATTGTTCGTAAGTTCTCCTTATTTGTTTCAATCTATTTTTTCGTGTATCATTCGTGAACATGCAAATTGCAGTTTTTCCTCTACGTAAAATCTATAATGTCGGGTCAGTCCTGACCCGGTCTTCGGATTTTGAAGAATATTTCAATGTGTTTGTAGGTACACGTAAAACGCAGCCGTCTCTGTTTTCCAGTAAACGTATTCAAGGCAAAATGATGATGTTTGTAGAAATATTAGTAGATAGAAGTTAACCTTAGGAGTAATGTAGTGTCTAATAGGCATATTCTATGGGAACGTCCGAGACGAGAGGTCTAACTTTGGTGTAAAGCGGTATTTCACGTTTGTTGATCAATTTAATTCAAGCATCGATCTTGAAGTATGCAGTATTATATCAAAATGTGGAAAAAGAATAAACTTTTGAGTGAAGCTGAGTTGTATGCCTTACTCCTATCAGATAGTGAAGAAGATAATGTTGCAGAGCTTGATGAAAGCAATAGTGAAGCGAGTGATAATGACGGTTGTGAGCCAGAAGCACATGAAGGTAATTTATCAATTACTGAACTCGGGAATGAGGAAGTTTTAGCGACAACTTCTGAAAATATAGATAGTGAAAGATCTAGCGTATCTGATGTTTTGTGCGAAGGACGAACATGGCGTTATTTAGCTCCAAAAAAGGGTAAGACGTTGACATGTAATTTATTACAGAAAAACGTAGGTCTAACTAAGAAAAGTCAAAATATTGAGACATGCATGGATGCCTTCAATTTATTTTTTTCTGATAGTATAATGTCAATGATTCTTGAGTATACCTATAAGAGAGCTATTGAGTTCATAGTTGCGTAAGAACGAGAAAAAAATGAAGGATTGGATTGAAGTTGATCTAGTCGAACTGCGTGCTTTTTTTGGTATACTTATATTATGTGAAAGGTTCAGAGAGTCCCATGAGAAGGTGCATAATTTATGGTCCAATACAAATAATGCATTTACGCGTCCTATGTATAAAGCATCTCTAAGCCGGGATAGATTTATAAGTATTTATATAATACGGTATAAAGTGCCTTGTGACGCTGAAAATTTTTATTGCTGTAACTTTGAGATATATACTGGAAAGATTGGTGATCAATCTGAACGTAACCAAGGCCCAAGAGTTGTCAAAACACTTGCAGAACATTGGTATAGCTCTGGTCGAAATATTACAACTGATAACTTTTTTACCGATATTGCTTTATCTGAAGAACTGTTAACCAAAAATTTAACTCTTTTGGGTACTATCAGAAAAAATAGGAAGAGTTTACCCAAATCATTGCTTGAAATGACAGATCGCTCACTGTATTCTTCCAAATTTTTGTTCACTAAAAACATTACCTTAGTTTCATATGTAACCAAGCCTAATAAGTTTGTTGTATTATTATCGACCTTACACAATGAACCTGAAATTTCTGATAAAAACCAAAAATTTAAACCAAAGATTATTGTGGATTACAACAAAACCAAAAGTGGAGTCGATATTTTAGATAAATTGATCAGAGAGTACATATGTAAAAGAGCAACAAGAAGATGGCCCTTACGTATATTTTTTAACTCTTTGGATATTGCGTGCTACAATGCTTTCGTTCTCTAGAATACGAAAAATCCTGAATGGAAACAGCCAAGTAAATATAAAACATCGCAGAAAACTATTTCTGGAGAAGCTTGGAAAACAATTAACCTCGCCCAATATAAAACGAAGAGCGGAAGCAATACAAGAAGAACCCACCGGATACCCTAAATCCGTAATCGCTGCAATAGAGACCACCGGTGTTAGTGTAAAAAAGCAAATCGAAGTGCCGAAATCTGCAACAAAACGAGGTCGTTGTTATTCTTGTAGGGGTAGTGACAATAAATATTCAAAAAGGTGTGACATGTGTAAAATATTTGTTTGTAATACTTATTTAAACGCGAATTAATTGTTAAAATTAAATGCAACTACTGCCAAAAAGACCACGATGGTGAACCATCTTAAAAAATTTAAATACAAAAATTTGGGATCATAATTTTTATGTTTCTTTGTTTTTTTTTGTTGAATTAAAGATACTGTTTAATAATACTGACTATTTAAAACATCCTTATAAATAGAATGAGAATGGGTCACGCTTGACCCATCTTCGTAATCTAATTAAGTCAAATAATCTCCGTACTCCGAAGGTTAAGCATTTATACAACATACTTCTACGTGCTGTTTAGGATCTATCAACACGTGTACTACCTACTACTACGTATTTATAGAAGTATTTTTACGTGCTAATAGGTACTGTGCCGCTTATTAGCTTGTTTATGAAATAGGTTTATTACTTTTTTAGGTCGATTCTTCTTAACAAATATAAAGATAGTAATACTATAAAAAACTTTATTGATTTTTCCGACCCAGATGCCGACTGGAGCTACATTACGTGGTTAAAAAGTATCACGAAACTACCAATCGTAGTAAAAGGTGTATTAACAGCTGAAGACGCTATCGCAGCAGCAGATGCAGGAGCTTCTGCTATTATTGTATCGAACCATGGTGCTAGACAATTAGATAGTCTTCCGTCTACGGTATGTTATAATACCAATAGCAAGAAAATCATAGCTTTAATATAAATTATTTTAGATAGAAGCATTACCGGAGGTAGTAAAAGCAGTTGGGCGTAGAATTGAAGTGTACATGGACGGAGGAATCAGAGATGGCACTGATGTATATAAAGCTCTAGGGCTGGGAGCTAGAATGGTGTTTATTGGTAGACCTGCATTGTGGGGTTTAACTCACGATGGAGAAAAGGGTGTCAAGAAAATTTTAGAGATCCTAAAAAAGGAACTAGATAATGCAATGGGAATCACAGGTACCGCGTATTTTATTTAAAATAGTTTTAACATATTTCTTCATTTGTTTATTTACCTCTTTTAGGAAGGCATTTATTTTCATATCCCTCTTCGTTAAAGTGAAATTAAAAAGTTTTGGCTTGTTAGTAAATGAAATATTTACAGAACATATTTCGTTCATATCTGGGGCCTACTGACTTCAGTTCTTTAGTTCCTAAGATTATCTTTGTCTTTCGTAATTATTTCCTTTAGTGCTAGCTTACCATATTAAGTAATTTTATTATTCTAGCACTATTCTCCTGCTATTTATTAATTTGGCTACTACGATTTAAGCTATTTAATCGTATCCCGTCTGACCTAGCCATTATATTCATAACTTTTATTATATCTCCGCACTGCAAGCCTTTCTTGTCTTGGTTATTTTTATTTTTGCTTCTTATCTCTGTTGATTAGATTTTCTAATATACTTTCGGCATTACAAGACTTGAAGGACAGGGAAATACTACAAGAACTGAATATCTACTTAATCAATAAGTAAATAAAATAATGTGGAATAAAATGACATTAGCAGAAACCCTCCAGAAAACCCGATAATATGCATAGGTGACAATCGTATAAATCGCGTGAAAACTTTTAAATACCTTGGCACCACAATCAATGACCAATCGGATCCACAACACGAGATAAAAACCCGAATACAAATGGCAAGACAAGCTTTTGTGAAATTCAGACCGCTCCTATGTAATCAACACCTAAACTTCGAAATACGCTACAGAATGGTCAAGTGTTACATATGGTCCATCTTGCTTTATGGCATGGAAACGTGGACTTTGAAAAAAACATCTATCAACAAACTTGAAGCATTTGAAATGTGGTCATTGAGAAGAATGATGCGCATACCTTGGGTGGATAGAGTTCGAAACGATGACGTCCTTAATAGAGCCGGCGTGGAAAGAGAACTCTTTGAATTAATTAAAAAACGCAAGATTGGTTATCTTGGGCACATACTGAGAGGAGCAAAATATGAAATACCACAGTTAATCCTACAAGGGAAGATCGAAGGTAGGAGAGGAGCCGGCCGCAAGCAATTATCCTGGTTAAGGAATATTAAAGAATGGACAGGAATACACAATACAGGTGAGCTGTGTCACGCCGCCAAGAACAGAATTCTAGTAATGAGAGAGTCGCCTACGCACTTTGGTGTATGGCATGTTAAGAAGAAGAAGGAATAAAATAAAATAACAAATAAATATCAAGATGACACGACATTTGATACCGAAATGGACAACCAAAAAAGAACAACAGATAAAAGGACAATTCTAGTTAAATAGGCATAACAAGCAGCAAAATTATATGAGCCGATCTCATGTATCATTGCGAATAGAAGTCCGTAGGTCCTAATAACCATCAAAATTTACCTTTGTTAGTAATTGCGTTTTATTTCTAAATTGTTTGGTCTTTTTTTTTTTTTGGTCGTAAATCTTTTTGTGTACTGTGTAAAAGTTTTCTATATCTTTTTTCCCTGTCACAGTTAATGCATAAATCTGTATTCAATTTAGTTTTCCTTGGATTTTCATCAGTTGCAGCATTAAAAATTTATTTTTGATATAGAAATAAAGTCCGATACTCATTTTGTTATTAATTTGTTGTTATTATTTTTGTTATACTTTGTTATTTTCTACCTTGTAGTTGATTTGTTCTTCCCCTGTATTCTTCTTCCTCCTCTTCAGTCTTAAATAATCCAACTTTGGACATAGGCCTACCCCAAATCAATCCATTGTTGTATTTCGTGGTTCCATCTTTTATCCTTCAGTCGGCAATTGTGTCCTGCGAAGGTTCATTTTAATTTGGCAGCATATTCTCCTGCGTCTTTTACTGTGGTTTTGCTTCTAATCCATTTGTTTGTTTTTTTGTCTATAAGTCTCACCCCGAGCATTGATCTTTCCATCGCTATTGGTGGTTTTACCATTTTATCCATATTAGACTTGGTTAGTGTCGACGTCTGTATACGTGAGCATAGGGAGGATATACTATTCGTAAATTCTGGTTTTCAAATATTGTTCTATTTTAGTGCTTTTCAAGATCCAACTCAGTTTTCCATTAAAATGTAATATGGCGTGCTCGATATTTATTAATTTTCCTGGTTCCCGCATGCCTCATACATTATATGGTGTAATTTGAGGATTTCGTGTATCTTCAGTAAGCAAAGACTTCGCTGCTTTATGACCTCAAAAGGTATATATGCTTGTGTTCTCTTCTTCTGTCGAATCTGGTCCCCTAGCGGGAATGAGCGTATTTTAAATTTACATTACAAAATAACAGTAACATTCGGCATCCCATGCAATCTTTCCTTTTTTTAACAATTTTATTATACGAAAATATATTATGTTCTAATAAATTGATTATTTCATGATTTTTTGTTTCAGGATGCTCAAAACTAACCGATATAAATCAAGATCGAGTGGTTCATGAAAGCTACTACGCAAGGCTATGATGAGATTTTTTTATAAAAAGTTTTGATAGTATAAAAATACAATAATCGTGACCACAAAATGTACAACTACTTTCTAAAAAAAAATCCTGAAATTCATTTATTAATTTAAAAAATATCATAAAATAGTTTTGTTTTAATCCAATACTGTTAACATTGAAGATTGGTCTAATTATTAAACTCTGTTAAAATGACAAGAATTGTTATTTGTTTATTATTTGTCTTCTTATCTGCTAGAACATAACCGATTTTACACTTTGTGTAACTATTTTTAAATAAGAGAAATCAACTTACTTTTTTTATCTAATGCTTCTCCTAAAATTAACTAAATAGCCTTATATAGCCTTGCTACTTATTTAAAATGAAGATTTGAGATGCGGTGATGTTCCGCTCTGATAAGTTCCTGATTTGTCATGAATGTGTTGCTTGTGTGAGTCCCCCTCAAATAGGTAAAAGAAATAATAAATAAGACTTACAATTAATTTAATTTAACTATCAGACGACCGGTTTCGCTTTTTACAATATGCAAAGCATCTTCAGGTCTATCGATACAAAGTTAATTAAATGCTGAAATAATAAAACCCATATTAGGATGTTGCCTTATAAAGACAAACAAAGATAAATTATATAAAGTACAGTAATGCCAATATTACATGTCTTTGGTTTTTTCAAAAAAGAATAAACTGTTTTAGCAGACAAAGTAAGTAAGACCTACAAATTGGTATAAAAATAGTCTATTGAATTGTAATAAATTAGTAAATAAACAAAACATTACTTACATGCCGGTATTTTATTAATTAATGGTTGGAAGAACATAGTTCAAACTATCCTGTATCCAGCTTCAGTTTTTACTATTGTAATTGTTTGACAATAAACGGGGAGGTTTCTTGAGGAGATAGATTTTATCCAATGAAGTAATTGTGAAGTGAAGTCATTTAACAAACAATCACATTACACCTATTTTCTACTTCATTTGCCAAAAGTGGAGTTAAATACTAAATTCAAAAATATGTTTAATAGTTTTACATGTTCGAATGAATTTACTATACAAGACGCTACAAATATACATACCCACTGCCATCATTGTTGTTCAGTATCCGTCTTCTTCAGACTTGTATATCAACAGAAACACCAATGCCTAGCATTCGCTGATGATATAGTACTGATAGATAGATGTAAACAAGAATTAAAAGAAATACTAAAAAGACTAGAAGCGAAAGCGAGAAAGAAAGGGATATAAATAAATGAAGAAAGGGCCAAAGATACGGAATGGATGTAATGAGAATACACGCAAGGACAATACCTGACAATACCTCACAGAAGGGAAAACATGCATTCGAAGAAGTAGAAATATTCCAATACCTAGGAGCGACATTTACCAGAAGACCAAATATAAAAGAACTCCAAACGAGAATTATGGCTGTATCTTTACTGTAAACAACTTATTAAGAAGTAAAAACATATCTAGAAGGGTTAAGATAAGAATAGATTGACACATAAAATTTATTTCGGAAGATAAAGATTTTGAGGCAAGATTTTTGGACGTAAAAAACAATTATCATTACTTCTTGCAATTTAACAATAAGACCTTATCGATGTCCTATCATAGCCTTGGTTCCATCGATCGGTATATACAGCAATGCATTTCGCCCGGTCAATATGGTATTGACTAGTGTATATACGTTCCGCTAGTATTGGTTTCTACATGATACTATGACAAAACAAGATAAGTTAACGCGCATGTTCTTGTGACGTAAGCCCGAGACAACTTTAATGACGGCAAGTTAAATGCTCATAAGTGTTGGTGTTAATTATGTTGCTGTATTAATCGAGTTTGCTATCCTATGTTTTTCAAAACGTAGCGAATATTTTTATTTATTCATTGATGTAGTAAAGACTTTGTATATTACATAAATTTTGTGGTGAAAATATTCAGTTTACTGTGTTTCCTAGAGACAAACAAAAGTTTAATGTATGGGTCTCCAAGTGTTTTCAGCGAGACAAATTTCTTCTCAAAACAGTTTACAGAAGCTGATCATTGTTTAAAAGAAAAACTAATTGGAATTGGCTGACAAATAGTGGAAATTAAGAAATGTTGCCATACTTTCTCTTCATTTAATAAAATCCCCAAGCGCTAAAACTTCGCCTGAAAATAGCCGCAAAAGAAGAATGGAGAAAAGAAATTTATTAAAAAACATGTAAGTATTTTGGTTATATATATTTTCGGATAATAATATATACTAATGTCCATTTTAATAGAACTTAAAGTAATACTTTATTTTCGATAGGTCTTTAAAAAAAATACTTTGGATGTCTGTAGTATGTAGTGAACTGGAACATATTTTTCGTAGCTATAATGGCGACACATTAAAAATAACAAAAAATTATTTAAAAAACTTAATAGAAACTGCAAAATATGTAAATGTTAGCGAAGATGTAAAATTACTTTTTTTTTAGATGTAAAATGTATTTTAAAATACGAATTCTAAATAAAAATATTAAAGATAATTACAATATCCGCAAGAGAAAAATCACAAAGATTGTAAAATAAATGTCTAAATGATATTTATAAAGTCTCAAGTTTTTCCTTTTTTCCGCTTTTCCTTTATGGCCAAATTCTTTACATTTTACTGGCCTTTTATATTTAATTTTTGTTTTGTAGCAATATTTATTTTGTTCGTAATATACACAATCAAACGTAGATTCATAGATTTCTTTAATTTAATTTTACAAATTACTTATTTATTTTCAAACCACGTTTTCACAGAAAGTAAACTATGTAGTTATGACTTCTTAGTGCAAGATATGGCATCGAGGTATACTTACCGTTAACAGTTTTTCGAAGCTGTTCATTACAGTAATGGAACAAGGTTGTCATATGATGCATCGTTAAAATATGATACACACAAGTCCCCTAGCTTTGTCTCGCTATGACGTCATGCGCAAAGTCGATCAAAATTAGAACGGCAAGTGAGCATATCTTGTTTTGTTATAGTATCATATTGGTTTCTAATGGAGAACAAAATAAAATTCTTCTATGGGTATGATGAGACAAGGAGATTGCCAACTATTTTTTTTTTGTCAAAAGAGGTAACAAATCTAAGAAACTTTGGTAAACACTGATTTAGATATTTTCGTTTATTTATAATTGGGTTGGGAAATAAAATGATATATTTTAATATTAACATTTATTAATAACATAAATATTACACATACGAAAGATTTTATACATTTAAACAGGAAAAAATGAAATCACGTTCTTAATAATAAAATGAGATGCAACTTATGTTAACATAAACCAAAAATAAAATAATTCAGCCATTCCTACCAACCCTTAGAACAGCTCAGATAATTTAAACAACTGTACTATTTATTCCACACAGAAATCATAGAAAACCATTTTAATATTAACAATCTAAACGAAGTGAAAAATGTGTTACTGATATACCTAAAAAACAAAAAACAAAATGTATATGAATAACATTCACAATTTCACTTCAAATTAGTAAGTTATCCTTTACATCTAAAAATAAAAAACTCTCCTTGTATTGGGCGCAGTTCTAAGAAATTAGAGGTATGAAAAATGCTACTTATCGAAAAAATATCTGTAAGATATTTATTGCTAAAGCTTCTACCATTGTTTAAATAGGACTAGTTAGCCAACGCAATGTATAAATTTGTTTGATTCTAATTGAGACAGTCACTAGATGTCACCACTCTTTCTGTCTCAATAGATTTTAATCTGCCATTGTTTGTTTTGATATACGTTATACTAGATGGTGCTATGTGAAAAAGTTAAAGACTAAACTAAACCTCCATTTTTGATCCCATGAATTAAATTCGCCAGCGTTGCAATATTTCACTGACATAATAGCAGCAGGTTTAGTTACAAATAAAAATGTTACAAAAAACAGACCATGAATCACTTAAGGTATTCATTTAAAATATAATTATTACTATCAACAAGTAAATATCGTGTCAACTGAAATAGTACACAAACACACTTTGACTTCTAAATCTTCATACATCTACCTAAATAAGTTTAAAGAATTTAAATATTTTATTTTATTTGGAAGTGTATTTAAAAAATTTGGTCCGAGGTAAGTAAAAGATTTTAATCCTATACCTACGTTTAAAACATAAAAAACATTTGTATGAGAAATGAACAAAATTAGGTATTTAGAAATAAATTTTATCGAATAATACATACATTCGATAATATTTGAAAGAAAGTGATTTTAAATTAAAATAATGTTACTTCCATAATAAATAAATAGTTTTTTACAGATGGCTGGAAATATTTGTTACTACAAATGTGGTTTATCACCATACAAAATTCATGGATTGAGAATGTTCAGATTTCCGACAAAAATCCTTCGGCTTGTCAAATTTGGATATTACACTCTGGTAAGTAAACATAAACTTTTTTTTAAATTCTTGTATTTTACACCGTTTCCGTTACGTAATTAACTTAAAAAAATGTTCATTTTTTTTTTCATTTATCATTTTTATTATCGCCACGGTGCACGCATTATATTCGAGATGCATTAATTTGAATTTTACGTTTTCGTTGGTATTATAATTGATATAATAAACTTCGGAAAAAAGAAATTAGTGAATAAATATCACTATTATTATTATTGTATTTAAAAGTAGAAATAAATTCATCTTTATCGGAGAACTAATTTATACACCAGTCCATCTGGGAAAAAATCATTGATTTGACGTGAAAATTTTATACAGATATTTGAAGGTTCTAAAATATATATATAAGGGTTAGTTAATGATAAATATGTGAAGACATACAGGTGATTTTGGTTTGTTTTTGTTTAAACAATTTTAAAAAGTGAGAGGTCATTCTTTTGCCTATAAAACGTTTTTTATTCAGTTTAGAGAAAAATAGTTGAAATAAAAATTGTAGATCTTAAAAAGTTCTTCAATTTGCGAGTTTCTGTTAAAATACATAAAGAATTCACCAAAATAGTTGCAAAAACCTTTGATTT